GCACCCACGCACACACATACAGATGCATACACATTTATTATGTTACTCTGCTTGAGCAGTGGAGGGAGCCCCAGGGAAATCAACCTCTTAATGCATCTCTGATGCAGACTTAATGAGAATTTAGCACATCACGGATTTTTAGCGCTTGGCAAGTCATTCTTTTATTAGGTTGACTTCCTTTTTATCCCACTTTTTGAAATTTTCAACAAGCTGTCTCTGTGAAAGACAGACTACATGGAGATGCACAAACACCACACAGTGTACACAGGCTCAGAATATATGTGTTTATGTATGTTCGTTATATTTAGAATTAGCTCAAGGAGTGGCATAAAAGCAAAAGATATCCTACAGTGATGTCACCCTGTTTCCTCTTCTTATCTTTTGTATTCTCTTTGATTCTGTTTTTCAGTCTCAGCGCTCTGCAAGACTACCTTTGGAAAGAGGGCACACCTTCTTCTCTAATTACTTTATGTACCTGGCCTGTTGTTGATCTATATTTGGGTTGTTTACAGTCTTGTGCACTTCTTTCCTCCCCCCAACCTTCCTTTTCCAGGCTCCAGGGAAACCTGCCATTGAGGTATCTCACTTCCTGGAGTGGATGAGCCTTGAGCCCCAGTCGATGGTTTGGCTGCCTGTCCTACACCGCGTGACTGCTGCAGAGTCGACCAAGCACCAGGCCAAGTGCTACGTCTGCAAACAATGTCCCATCAAGGGCTTCAGGTAGGTATGCCTGAGTGACTACATGAACATGCATGCAGGCGCTATGGTTCTAGACATACTGTATATAGAAATATAAAATGAAAACTATGAATCTTCAGTGATTACATCAGTGCTACATTAAATGAAATAACAATAACATCAATGTAGCAATTAGAAACCTATACAATGCACATACACAAGCAACAATGCAAATTAAACTTTAATAAATAACAATTAAAGTCACAAGTACAAACCTGGTTCATACAATGTGGAGGGGACCAGACTGATCGGCAATCCTGTATTCAGGGTGTTTCAGGTGTTTTCCACAGCTGTAGTAAAGCCCTCTTTGCTCCCAAAAGAACGTAGGCAATAAATTCTCTTTCAGGCACTCTGAAAGTGGTCGGTACCTGTGATGTACAAAACATGATCAGCATGGGATCTGTTTGCACTTTATTACCTGTGAAAGTGTAAAAATATATAGATCACAGGGTGCCTCGGTATCTCATCTGGCTCTTAAGGCAGCAGGTTCCAGCCCAGGGCTCTTTGCTGCATGTCATCCTCCATCTCTCTCTCCTCCCTTCTTGTCTCTTTTCACTTATCACTATATTAAAAGCATAAATGAGCCAAAGAAAAAAAAAAGTTTTATAGGAAATAGATTAAAGCAATATCAAAGTGTGCAGTGATTATGCAATATAAATGCAAAGGAGGATTTTGCACACAAATTACAGCTCGTTAATAATCACAAGAACAACAATGCTACCAGTGGGAATATTTTAAAAGTAAAAGGGAGAAGCAATTAGATTGTTTTAAAAGTGGCAGCTGGTGTTTTCTTTTTTTTTTTTTTTTATGCTTCCTCGCCGGACACAACCACAGCTGTTTTGTATTCTGGTTGTCCGTCTGTCAGTCCCATTTTTTGTGAATCTGATATACTGTATGAGAAACTGATGGTGGAAATTTCTTCAAATTTGGCAAAAACGTTCACTTGGACTCGAGATGGGACTGATTAGTTTTGGTTGGTAAAAGGTCACTGTGACCTCTCAAACCACCATTTTGGCCGTATCTCGAGAATTTATGTGCTAATTAAGCCAAAATGTGTTAAAATGGTGATGACATCTTACTGCCAAAAAGTCAAAGGTCAACTTTCTTGAGACATGAAAATGTTCCGCATAAGCATTACTTTTCTAGTCAGCATACATACAGTCGTCCTCAGTGTATTCATACCCGTGCATTAAAGGAAAAGCAAAATTCACAATAGTCACTCAAATAGCTAGAAACTGAAAAAAGTAATAATAAATAAAAAAATGCTAAATTATAATTTAGTGAAATAAGACATTGCTTTTAAATTGTGGGTGAAAAGAATAATTAAAATAATTGTCCCAGACAAATTAGAGCACTTTGCTGATGAGCATTGGACCAAAATACCTGTCAACAGGAACAGAAGTCTGATTGAGAGTTACAGAAAACACTTGATTACAGTGATTGGCTCAAAGGGTTGTTCAGCAAACTATTAGTTTATGTGTCCCATCGTGCTTGTTTGCTTGTTTTTTTGTTTGTTTGTTTGTTTTTTTAATACTTCTGTTGAACCACAATTCAAAAGTAATGTCATGATTTTCATAAATTTTTAAATTCTTATTACTTCTGTCAATTTCAACTTATTTCAGTGACAGCTGTTTTTTTCCTTCTTTAATGGGAGGATATGAATAAATCTGAGGACAACTGTACATACTATAGATCTTCTCAGTGCTGCTGGGTTGACGTTGTGTGAGAAGCATCCCCGTTTCAGAATTTGTAGCTTCTCTGGAAACAAATTTGTATTCAATCAGAATCTGCTTTATTGATTCTTCAAAGTTTAGACGTCTGTTATGAGTCTGGACAGACATGATGCAAACAGCAACTTTTCTAGTCAGTGGAAGCATATTGCTGTTCTTATTAAATTCTAGTTACAACATATAAGAATCTCAGCTCTCCAGATGAAGGCTTTTTTGAGATGCTAGAACAAAAATACAGTGTATAATGTTATGAAAAGGAGACAACGCACGCTCCAGTGTACACGATGACATTCATTTATTGAGGCAAGCTTCATGGGTCATGCTTGAAGGTCCTTGACAGAAAGTTTTCCTTAGAAAAATAATATTGTGCAGAAGGTAGCAGAGCTGATACTGGTATTCCGGGATATCCTTCATCTTGAAATCTGGCACAGAAATGTATGTAATGAATAACTTCTGCAGATAAAGAATTCATAATCACATTATTTTGGGAGCACACAGATGAAAGCAATCAGAATGTATTATTAGTTTTTTTTTAAAAACATATTAATTACAATACATGCATCCAACTTTTATTCTCACGCGCACACACACGTTTCTATCACTTGACTGGATATTATACTGATTCATATTCATTTCCTGGAGACCCGAACAGTAACCTTAACCGAAACTTAATCTCATCTTAACATTAAACTAAGTCCTCAGTGTAAAACTTACTAAATTACACTGCAGGGACTTGTTTCTTGTCCCCAAAAGGTAGTCGAGTCCCCTCAGTGTGACTGTATCAACAGATTTGTGTCCACACAGAATGAGTCATAGAAGGTCACACACACACACACACACACACACACACACACACACAGAGCAACTCTACTTTACCCAGTTCTCTTGCAAACATCAGTTGAGCCTCTCTGTCATATTGATCTTGACAGGTATCGCAGTTTGAAGCAGTTCAATGTGGACATCTGCCAGACATGTTTTCTAACCGGCCGCACAACCAAGGGAAAGAAGCTGCACTACCCCATCATGGAGTACTACACCCCAGTAAGACAAACATTACGTAGTGCTTTAACTGAATACAAATTTAAGTCTCCGAGGACGGACGAAGCTCGGCTCTACTCAGTAGAAAAACATGCTATCTCCTTATTCCCATTGCTAGATTCGGCTCCTCTCCACTGTAAGGTTTCTATCATCTTTAAGTGTATGCTGTTAAAATATGCTTCAGCTGCCTCGTCCAGACTTTTAGTATGCAGAGACTGAGCACCACTCAGCTTTGGCTCAAGTAGTGCATACAATAAGTGCTATCTGGAGCCCAAATTGTGCACAAAACCCCAATAAAACCAGAGTCTTAAGCGATTTCACACACAGTCGCTGGAGTCAAGTTCATTCTAATGAGTAGCTGTTGCACTGTAGCTGAAGTGCTGGAGTGTACTGAGATGGTGCCAGATTAAATCTCTAATCAATTCCAAGCTGTAAAATATGGCAAAGGGCCATCTGTACAATGATTTTTTTTTTTCAATGGACAATATTTTATACTCGCTAGCTACAGTTTTTTTCCGACAAGCAGGCAGGCAGGCAGGCGCCCATAGATTTCTGCTATGATAGAGAGAGCAGGAAATAGAGAGCTGCAGAGAGAGAAAAGATTTTGAACAGAATGAGAAAAAGTACGGCTGGGAAAAGAGAGAGAGCAGCAGGAGCTATGTGGAATAAGCCGATGGAGGACAAAGTCAGAATAAGACAAACCAGCTTCAAGACAGTGTGGACAAACTTTACATGAGGTAACTTTTGGGAAAGCAACATTTCCAATAACTCTAATGCAGTGTAATTTGTCTTCCTCCCATCCGCTGCCTTTGCTTCAACCGCCACCTGTCACCCCTCCTCCACCCACCGAACCCCGTCGACTATTAAATCACACGGCAGACAACCTCGGGAGAGAAGATGAGGGACTTCGCCAAGACTCTGAAGAATAAGTTCAGGTCAAAGCAGTACTTCACCAAGCACCCGCAGAGAGGTTACCTGCCAGTGCAATCAGTGCTGGAAGCTGAGAGCTCAGAGACGTGAGTCCTGCACACACAAACACGCACTCTGTCTCTGCCTGCTCACTTTTCCTCAGTTGCGCCCATGCAAACTGTAGGCCGAGCACTGAGATGGGTCAAAGGGATGTCTCTGTGTACAGAATTAACATAATGTTAGTCCTGTGATCTCAGTCTGGCTCAGGTGCACTGTTCACATGAGTGAGTCTGATACAAACCCCAGAGCAATGAGATTAAAATCCACAAGATCATCGTGAAGCATCGCTCAAGGCTACGACAGTGCTGAGGACGATTTAGCATGATTATGTGTCCCTGTTTTGCCTGATCGTGTGAGTGTTGTGGTTACCTTGTATAACCTCAAATACTGTAGTTAGGGACAGCTAAGGATGAAGGAATGTCCATGCAACAACCAACACAAAATTCATGAAGTGATTAGATCTGAAGTACATGGTTACAATCAGAACTTTTTAATAAGGTAAGGCCCTATCTTTGTAACATTAAACCCATCTTCATCAGCGTAAGAGACGACAGTGGCTGCGTAGATGTTTACATTGCCTGTGCCCACGTAGTAGCTGTCTTTAAAAGCATGAACTGGTGTTGATTGTTGTAACGCCATATGTCTACAGTATAAACATCATAAAAAACATTGTGTGCATTATCAAACCATCTGGGATACATGTAAGAAAAATCATGGAAAACAAGATTAGTTTCCTTATTTAGACCATACAGTTCAAATATACAAATCCGGCAGCTTTCCCTTCAGTTTGTTTACAAGCCCCCTGCTGGAGGGAAACCAACTATAACTTATACAACCTGCTCACCAGCATCACAAGTCGTCAGTATGCTGGGCTTGATCAATGAAAAGGCATCATACTTTTAACCCTTTACTGGGCAAGGAACCATGTATGGTAGCATCCGCAGGCTTTCAAAATCCATCCATCCATCCATTATCTATACACTGCTTAATCCTCACTAGGGTCGCGGGGGGGCTGGAGTCTATCCCAGCCGACTTAGGGCGAAGGCAGGGGACACCCTGGACAGGTCACCAGTCTATCACAGGGCTGCCCTTAGAGACAGACAACCAAGCACACTCACATTCACACCTACGGACAATTTAGAATCGGCTTTCAAAATGTCAGAGATAAATAAAAAACGAGGGACAGTTTGATCAGTGTGGAGTAAAACCAAAATAAATTTTTAAAAAACGCTTTTTTCCCATCTATCAGGTAGCCATTTTTTTCAGTGCACTACATAAACAGACTAGAGTATTTCTTATAATATTGTCCAAACCTTCTTCCTGCTAGGGTTTAATGTCCCCATCTATATTCTTTCATATCTCTGAGACACTTTGCAGAGGAAGTCAAACAGGTAATGCAGACAGGAGAAGTTTCTGGCAGGCAGAATCACATCACTTCATCCAGCCAATCAACGAAGGTCAGGCTACATCACAACACAATCATTATGGCCTCTGATTGGTCAATCAGGAGTGAGCCAGAGTGATAGTTTGACACAAGTGTCACAAGTTCCATAAGTCTGACTGGTGATTTGGAAATAAATGTTCTTTCACCTTTGTGGGTGTTTTTTGTTTTTTGTTGTTGTTTTTTTTCACAATAATTTAATCACATATTATTTTAATTTTAATTTTTTTTAAACTCTAGGTGTGCACTAAATTATATATGGTAACTGTTTTGATGTTGGTTTGCAGCCTGTCCCTGAAACTTTTTTAAAAAGTAAAAAAAAAAAAAAAATGTCATCTTATAGCCATCAATAACACTCCAAGGTTGACATTTTAAATTTCCAAGTATTTCACTGAGTGGCCTATAAAGGGTTACACCATTAAACCTTGTGTAAAATCAGCAAAGTAACCAAACTAGCGCTCTCTAATAGAGCAACGTTGTGATGTACAAGTTTAATCCTCCGAACTCCAAACTGTGTCTTGGCATTTTCTGCTCCTGTCACATTTTTACTCACTGTGGGCTTATTTTTCACGGCAACAAAAAGTCCTGCACATCTGTGGAAACAGCACAACCAAGGAAAGAAGTAGAGAGAACTCCTTTTGTACTATGACACAGTTATAAAGTCATAAAAAATAAAGAACTAAAATTGAATTTTTTGATGATCTGTTTTACAAAAAATTTTAAAAGCTTGGAATCAGCATGTACAACATACTTCCAAGTACCCACAGGCATTACCAAAACTGGAAAAGAAAATGGCGATGCTACATACAAAACCTTACTTTACTACTCGCATTTTTAATTTGTTTCTATACTCTGTCTCTTATCTGCTCTGTGTAAACACAGGCTGTAATTCAGCCTAAAACTCTCACAATTGTTGTCATTTTTTACAGTGTGTGGTTAGTGCAAGCTGGGTTTTTTTTTAAACATTTTTAAATTAGACATCTAGAATTAGCTAATTTTGATGAACTATAACAATTTCAACCTTAGAGTTGGTCACTTTTTCCTGACAGAATGGCACACCACAGATGAGTAATTCATTCACCGACAGAAGGTTAGAAACCAGATAATTCTCTCTGTCTTTACAATATCTTATTGTGATAAATGGTGTAATTTCGTTGATTTTTCTAAAGATAATGTGTTTTTCAAAGTCTCCAGTGAGTTGTGGGGTTCAGAGGATTAAGTGGCATACAATTAAAATAATCAGGTGCAGTAGAAATACCTCAAAATTGTACAGTACTTTTAAAAAGGTGCTTGGTTGCTTTGGACCACTGTGAGAATCAAATCTTTCTTGTCTGCGTTCTACAAGCAAAGTTTTCACTGTAAATAATGAAACCTCTTTTGGACTGTTGCAATAAGCATGTCATGGAGTTTAGATTTGTCTTTTCTACACCCACACATTCAGAGTGTTAGAAATGCTTGTGTGAAGTATTGACGTTGGCTCCTTTTGTTCCTAGACCCTGCTCCTCACCCAAGCTGCCCCATGCAGACACACACAGCAGGATTGAACATTATGCCAGCAGGTATGTGGCCTACTGCAACAGTGCTATAAATCAAATAATTACTACAGAGTCTCTCCCTCTTTCACTCTCTCCGAGTCATCCCCCTTCTTGTGTATATTCACCCCACCTCCTCCTCTTCTCCTCCTCCCCCACCTGCTCGGCTTTCTCACCCTTTAGTCTTTGCCACACACTGATTGAGGTATTGATTTGGCTGCGTTGTGCACTGTACTCCAGCCAGGACCGAGGCTGTGCTGCCCTGGAGTTTCCTTCACTTTCATTCTGCACACAAACACATGCTGGCACACGCACACACAGCTGTTTGTGATTATTGTGTGTGTGTGTGTGTGTGTGTGTGTGTGTGTGTGTGTGTGTGTGTGTGTGTGTGTGTGTGTGTGTGTGTGTGTGTGCGCGTGTGTGTGGAGGTCAGCGGGGTTCAGCGTGCCTAGCGACTTGTCACTTGCGAGGGCAGTGAGCCCATTGGTCACCTGGGAGCTGTCGGTGTGGATTAGTGTCTGTCTGACAGGATATAAACAGGGCACAGCGCTGGACTCCCACACTCCTGGCAGCTCTGCCCACAGTGCAGAGCTGGAAACACACATCCTTTTTCACTGAGCCTGCAGTGTGTGCATGGGACTCTGTGTGTGCGCTGGCAAGTGTGCCATTGTGTATTACTTCCCCGAGGCTCTTACACACAACTGCTTTACACCCTGCCAACCAGGGAACACACCAATGAGAGAGCGGGCACAATTGTCCTCTTTACCCCTCTTATCTCTCCCCTTTTCTTCCTTTCTCCTGTTTTCTGTTTGCCTTTTTTTCCTCTTTTTATTCTTATCTTTGATCCCTTTCTTCTATTGTCTCCCGCCCACACATTTATTTTCGCCGCTTTTTTTCATACACCTGACTCGCTCCCCCTCCAACCGTCTCATCTTCCTTGTTTAAAGCATTTTCTGTTACATTCTCTCGCATATCTGCATTTGTTTTCAATTACTCTACAATTTTCTTCAAACGGCTCTTGAGTTGTGTCGGTTGCTCGGAAAAATCTCAACCAGCACAATACAGTGATTGTGGCTGCGGCATTCATCAAAACGAACTAGAAGAGAGGAAATGGGAAGGTGGACATGGTACGGCAGTCTAATTGAATAAAAGTGAGACACATTTTTAGAAAAAAAATGAAATAAAATCATCAGTCTGCTGCAAAAATGTAAGAAAAACAGTTGAAATCCATTTTTTTAGAAGTGCTGTCTGTAGTGATTGGCTTTACCCGTCAGGAAACCATCTTTGTTTGTCGAGCATCTTGTGTTCTGTGTATAAAGGAATCAGACTCTCAATCAGATTGAGATTTGGGGATTTGAAGGCCAAGTCAACACCTTGAACTCTTTGCTATCCTTTTGCAACCATTCTTGAGCAGCTCTTGGGCTCTGTTGTCCTGCTGAAGGATGCTGCTGCAATCAGAGAACACTGTGGCCGTGAAGGTGAGTACTGTTTAGGTGGGGGGTACATGTCAGAGTAACTTCCACATGAATGCCAGGACCCAAGGTTTCCCTGCAGAACATTGCCCAGAGCGTCAACACTGCCTCCACCGGCTTTCCTTCTTCCCACAGTGCATCCTGCTGCTTCCTGTTCCTCAGGTAAATGATGTACAAGCAGCCAGCCGTCCACATGATGTAGAACAAAAAGCAATTCTTCAGAACGGGCCACATTGCTCCATGGTCCAGTTCTGCCTTTGAAGTCCCCATTGTTGACACTTTCCTCAGTGGACTAGAGCCAGTGTGGGCGTTTTGATGCCTGACATCTTATGCACAGTGTTCTGACTCCTTTCTATCATGGCCAGATTAAGGTTTTCACCAGTTTGTGCTTCTGTAGCTCCTCTGTGAGTGACTTGTTAAGCCTGCGGCTCCTGTGACCTTTTTGCCGGTTCACCAGTTGTCCTTCATTGGATCATTTTCAGTAGTTTCTAACCACTGCATTGTGGAAAAACCTCACAACATCTGTTGTTTTAGAGATACTGTGATCTAACCATCACAATTTGGCATTTGTCAGAACCCTTCAGATCCTCACGCTGCCCATTTTTCCTGCTTCCAACTTCAAGAACTGACAGTTTGCTTGATTGCTTGCTTGTGCCACTGTAACAAGATCCATCCATCCATCCATCCATTATCTATACACCACTTAATCCTCACTAGGGCCTTACTGGGGGACACCGTGGACAGGTCACCCGTCTATCACAGGGCTACATTTAGAGACAGACAACCAAGCGCACTCACATTCACACCTACGGACAATTTAGAATCACCAATTAACAACAGTGCTAACCAGCTGCGCCACCTTGCAGCCCAGTGTAACAAGATAGTAAATGTTATTCACTTCATCTGTCAGTAGTTTTAATGTTGTGGCTGTCTGGTGTATAAGGGTAGTTCAAGTGTAGGAATTTGTTACCACTGTTTTTAAAAGCATAATGTAGTTGTGTAATTGTTATTGCCAGAAAATTATACAAAGATCAATGCCCACTTTGTGGTTGTGACTCTCAGCCCCAAGCCAATTGATTCCTATTGAAGCTGTAAATCTTCTCCAACAGACCATGAATGCACAGTTTCACTATTTTCATCATGAATCAGGTTTTGTTAACAAGTATTTTTGGCATCAGGATTGTGTGTGTGGGATTAACTCTAAATAAACTACATTACTCATCAACTTGTAATGAAGAAAGATGTCACCCAGTGCGACATTGATGTGACTGTTTTTAGTTTTTAGACAACGTTGAAGCTCTGTGGCACAGATTCATGCATACACTTCATCAGACTTTGGATACACACACCTGTCATACCTGTTATTAGCATCAGTTCATTTATTCTTTTGGCCTTTTTATGAGATTTGTTGGTACTAATAAAAAAAACAAAACAGAACATCAGCAGATTTATCCTTTCAACCTTCTTGTTAATAAATGCTGCATAACACACTGTTCATGTCTGGCTCTGTGCTTTAGAAATGATCACTTTTATGAGCCCTTTTATGGAGTGTTAATGATTTATTAACTAATTAAATATATACTCCAATTATGAATGTTTCATAGGGAGAATTATATTTGTTGACAAATCCATTGGCAAATGCTTAGAAGCCTGCGCGGTCCAACACAACCGCTCTTCAGTTGTATTTCTGTCAAGTTTATAGACTTCATTGTTTACCGAGATAAAATCACAGAGGTGTCGACCCAACTCTGCCATCATTTCTTTGGCCTATAAAACAATTAAAATGGCTCTAAATGGGTATCAGCTGTAGTGCATCAGACACATGGAGAAAAAAAAAAAGGACGACAGCGTGAGCACACTCATATTTCCCAGCGTGATCTGAGCACCGACATAATACGAGTAGACAGTCCTTATTTTAGCGATGGTGGGTATTTTATCTGTACTCTGGCGGCATGCAGAATTAACTTCCCTCGTCTTCTTAGTTCTTTCTTACTTACTCACCCTGCTTCTCTACCTGTCAGTTAATGTAGGATAAATAAAATAGGAGAACCATATTTTTTATTTGAACTCATTCCCAGCATTAATCATAACTCGCTGGTCACTTTGAACGCTAGTGGAAAGTCAAGCTGATATCAAAGCACTGGATGTCATCACTGGCAGGTCAATGTGTCCAAAATCCTTCCTTTGGGATGACATATTGAACATGTGTGGGTCAAAATGCCCTTCATCCACAGAGAGTTATACGTGTTAATCCACTGCATGAATGTAGTTTCTCCAGGTATCTCGGAGGAGATGGAGTATTTGATGTTAGGGGTTAGGAAAGTCAGAAATGTAGTTATGTCAAACACGGAGACGTTCTCTGTCTCTTCCTCTCTCTTTGCACCTCTTGCCCTTCTCCTACGTCGATGCAGGACTTCATTCCTTTCATCATCACCACTGCTCAAACATCTTATAACGGATAGATGAGGAGAAGATAATAATAAACCTCGTGGAACTCTGGGAGGATTTCTCCTCTGCAGTCCTTGCTCTCTCCCCTGTTTCTCATTTCCTCTCTTGCATCCATTTACATTCACCCAAGAAGCTAAACACACATGTGCGCGCAGGACACACACACACTAATATTTTCTTCCCCCCTCCATTTGCCGTTGTCCCTGGCTGAGAGTCGAGGTTTGTCGAGTCTCTCTGATGAATCGTGTCGCAGATTGAATTACGAGCGGTCAGGTTCACAGGCCGGGGATCCTGTAACAGGACATGGATAAATCCTAAATTTCTCAGTGTTATGGTCTCATTGGAAACTGAAGAGAAATAGGATGTAATGTGGATGCCCCTGACAGCCTCTATATCACTCACTCCTCCTTCTCCATTCCTCACTCTTTTAGCTGGCGGCACACTGCAAAAGATGACGGTGTGTCGGTTTATGTGAGCACAGGAATGCTGCAGTGAACATTTAACGTTGACCAGGGGTGTGTGTGTGGATTTACACAGACAGCCACTGTTTTTTGTAGCACTTTGCTTAGTGGGCTGGATCTTTATTGAATGAGAAACCCTTTTTTTATCACGCATGCTGTTACATGTTACCAACATGTGCGGCTGCTTGTGATGAATTAACTGGTGTTTTTCCACTTTAACGCGAGCTGTTTCCAATATATATCTGGTGTAGATTATATCTTCCTATATGTGCTTTTAAAAGCCACTCGAGAATGGATGGCTTTGTGCATTCGAGCGCAAGCTTTACATGTATCTGAAGTAGCTAGAGGTGATAGTGATGACGAGAGAAGATTAGAAAAGTGTTTTGCAGCTACATCACTGTTTACTGAGGCTGCTGTTGATAATAGTTTCTGAAATGAACTACAATATGTCGCAAAAGTGAGTACACCCCTCACATTTCTGCAAATATTTTTTTATATCTTTTCATGGGACAACACTGAAGAAGTGACACTTTGCTACAATGTAAAGTAGTCAGTGTACAGCTTGTTTAACAGTGTAAATTTACTGTCCCCTCAAAATAATTCAATACGCAGCCATTCATGTCTAAACTGCTGGCAACAAAAGTAAGTGAAAATGTCCAGACTGCTTTACATTGTAGCAAACGTTTGTGACATACTGTAGCTATATGTGGTGATCTGGATGGTAATGAACATGACAATAAACATGAATATGCACATAGAGAAAACAAAGAAGGTGAGCGTTTGTCAGGCTATTTTCTAGTTTATTAGCTGTGAAACAACAAATGCCAGTTCTAATAAGGAAAGGTGGTTGGACATATAACCCTCTGAACTCCAAGCTGGGCGTTTTTTGACCCGCTCACATTTTACTCACTCCAGTTTGTACATGTACAAGTTTAATCCTCCGAACTCCAAACTGTGTCTTGGCATTTTCTGCTCCTGTCACATTTTTGCTCATTGTGGGCTTATTTTTCACTGCAACATAAAGTCCTGCACCTCTGTGGAAACAGCACAACCACCACATAAGGAGAGAGAACTTAGAAATGCCTCCTGTGCAGTAGGACACAATTCTAATTCCATAAATCAGTTGTAGATGGGGAAAAAAAAGGTTATTTATGTTATAAAAATTTTATAAAACTTGGAATCAACATGTACAACATTTTTTTAGTGTCCCTTATTTGTATTTTAAACATCATTTTTGACCAACTTAATGTGAATTTTTTTTCCCTTCCCTGGAGTTTCTCATTCAAGCCATTGTTTTCCTACCGCAGCACATTTTATTTGGCCTTTTAGTGAAACAGCTTACGGAGCAGCATGTACAGTGCAGCTGTCCACCGACAGTCAGCAGGACATAATGCAGAACTGGAAGCGCTGTCCTTGGTCCTGAAAATCCACACAGCCGCTCAGTCCCAGCCCTCACACACACACACACACACACACACACACACACAGAGTCGCTGTCCATGATGCTGGACAGCAGCACATTTCTAAAAGGCTTTTTATTGCCAGTGTACTGGTAGACAGGGCACCGCACAGTTTTATCCTCCCTCCTTTTGGACACTTTTATAGCTTGTTCTCTATGACAAGTCGAATTTCTGCCATTCTGCACTCTTGTTAGTCAGATGTTTCTGGACAGCTTGCTATTCAACTGCTGTCCGCACTGCTCAAAGGCCAGAGGTCTTATCCACAGCACTTTAAAGCTAAGCTGTTGTGATTATGTGTTTTAACCTTGTGTTTGGTGGAACATATTTCCCCAGTGCGTGATATAATCAATCTTTTGCTCTTTCTTTTCTTTTTCTTCTTTGCTCTGATGCTCTCCTTTCTCCTTTGTGCACCTATTTGTATACATGCGCGTGTATTTGACATGCTGTTCTCAGTGCATCTGTCTATATATGTTTACAGATTGGCAGAAATGGAAAGCCAGAATTGTTCATTCTTCACGGACAGCCTGTCTCCAGATGAAAGCCTGTGAGTACGCTGCTACCCCGTCATTACAACACCCAGGGATTATGTGTGTGTCTTGTGTCTTTCCTCTTGATACATTTCCCGTGTCTGTGTCTGCGTGTGTGTGTGTGCTCAGGCTTGTACATGTATGTCCGACTCTTAGGGAAAGACTGAGTAATCATATAAATAATCAGCCACATATTGAAAATGACCCACAGTGAGCAGCATGTACTCATCCCCACTTCATCATCCACATGCCTGCCGCGATTAAGGTCCACGTGCAGATACACAAAGTGTGTGTGTGTGTGTGCACTTGTGGGATCTGGCTGAGTGGCGGGCATTGGCGAGGTTACAGCAGCGAGAGGAATAAGGATGCTTGATGTGAATGAGGCGGTCATTGCTCATTGTGAAAAAGTTGAGAAAGCACCACATGGAGAAGGCGGTTGTTTGAGATCATGCATCTGTGTCCATATCTTATTTTGTTGACATCTGTGTGGGCTGTCAACCGCTTCTCCCTTCTCTGAGACAGGTTTTTATTATTACACTTTAAAGTCAAGGTTGCATGCCCAGCAGCTTCTGTACAAAGTGGTGTTTGGTATTTTAGGACTCCAGGTGTGTATCTGTTTAAGTGCACTGGGAAGTGTGCTCATTATTTCTCCTCAGATGTGTTTTTTTGTGTGTGTGTGTGTCTGCACAGAGAGATGGGGTGTGATTGACACCACATTAAGAGCTAGTTTTAGGTTTAGACAAAAGTACAATACTTTGCAGCAGTGCAGCATTTTTTATTTTATTTTTTTTACTACTGAAGTCTGAGCTTCTCAAGCCTGCTCTCAATGTCTTTGTTGCCGTGTGCGCATATCTAGAGTGTTGCTTGGATGGAGCTTTGTCACGAAAATGTGTGTATGTCCGTGCATGTACATATAGTATTTGCATCTCTGTCTGTGTGTAATTGTGTGCCTGAGAGTGTGTTTGTATGCATGACATTTCACTTCTGCCGCTTATGTGTAGCGGTGTTGTTTTCTGCTCCTGTGCCCTTGTATCTTGTTCTTATTCTGCAAACCCATCCTTCTGTCTGTCAGTGCCTCTCTGTTTTTCTGCTGCATGCTGCTGTGCTATCTGTGCCTCCAGCTGGTGTTTGGTTGGCAACATACTGTTTTCTGTCCAGAGCCATGCTGCCTGTGTGTGCAGCCGTCACCCTCCACCTGTATACACTGCTCTGAGTTCACTGTACTTATTGGCGCGTAACAGACCTTCAGTCTTTCACGAGTCAAAATTAATCTTAAAATCAGAAGTGTTTGTTAATAATTGATAAGAGCTGTGCTTATAGTTTCATTCAAAATAGCAGTTTTTGATACATACATACAAGCATTGTACAAGATATATATTTTGTATTGATTTGCACAATAGTATTGAACTTGTAAATAGTATTATAGTCTATCTCTCTACTGAGCTATTTAGTTACACTTAGTTTGCACGATAAAAGGCTGTTAATTAAGCAGTGTGCTCCAACCCCCTTTTGTAATTTCTCTGTCCTCGAGCTGAGAGGCACCTGTTTCTGCTGTATTTTGCAGGCTGCTGCTGAGAGAACCCAATTTCTACTGAGTTGAAATCAGTTCATCCACTAATGTAAGCTAGCTAGATCACAAATACATATTTGTAAATGTAGCTACTCCTTAATAATAGTATTAACTTTTAGAACACTTTCCAAAACCCCAAATTACAAAGTCCTTAACAAAGCAGCATAATGAAGACACCAATGCATTGTTTGGAAAAAGGGGAAAACATGTTAAGAATAATAAAAGACAACTGGAAGGAAATCAAAAAGTGAAATAAGGAAATTCTATCCGATAAAAGTCTGTTTTTAAGGAAAGGGGCTTAACCCTCTTCAGGACTTTCAAGAAAGAATATATGCAAAATATTTGTTGGTATTCATTACAGACTTTTATGCTATGTTAAGTAAATGTTCTGATAAGTTGACGTATTTTTGATTCCAAATGCATGACAAATGTCCCTCTTTTAATATTTTAAAAATTCTTTTAAAAAAAACAAAAAAAAAAAACAATACCTGTCACCTAAACCAAAAGGCCTGGGGTCCAAAAGACCCCAAAAGTCCTGAATAGGGTTTAAAAAAAAAAAGGTCATGGGCTCAATGGACTTGGTTTCCTTTGTGCCCCTTATTTTTCACCTGGGCTCCTGGAACGAACAAAAATCTCTATGTCCAAGGATAGACGTACTGGTGCATACCGTACTAAGAGGTCAGAGAGCTGGCTGAAAGGAAGCCATGAAGAGCCTTAAAGTAATCAGTAAAATCTTAAAATCTCTTCACATCACTTCTGCTCCCATCACATACTGGGAGCAGAAGTGATGTGATCATGTATCTTGGCTCAGTTAAAAGCCTGGCAGCTGAGTTCTGCACGGTGTCGAGTCAATCAATAGATTTTTGGGTTCAGGCAGGTAAAAAGGCTGTTGCAGTAATCCAGGCGTGATGATATGAAAGCGTGTAAGATGGTCTCTGAATCCTTAAAAGTTAAGATAGGCTATATTTGTGAAATATTTATAGGATAATAATAACATGATTGTACAAGCTTTGCTCCCTAATACTTAGATTACTATCAGACCAGATGCCACGATTCTTTGCAAGAGACTTGATTTGACCCAAAAGGGAACCAAATGGCAGGTTTTGTTTTTCCATGTGCTGGTCCTAGTGACAATGACTCCAGCTGAAGAACAAGAAATATAATCAAAATAAAAATTGTGCTTTTAATTTAGAGATATACATTTTTAAAGTAAACTGTATGTAGTTTATGTATTGTATGCAATAGTAGGATTGTGTAAAATAAACCAGATGACTGATGTAGTGAATAAAATGTAGTTTGCAATAAATACTGAATATCCCGGCAAAAGTAAGATTCAAACCTTTTTCTAGAAAAGTCCCACTAAAATGTCTTAAGCCTGTAAACAGATAAATACAGCTTTGGAACAGACTTTTATTTTTAATACCTGTAACTGGAAATACTGAAATATTGCAATAACAGAGAGCAGGCAGGTCATGCTGACCCAACCTGACTCACCAGTCACCTGAAGTGGAGCCTTCTGAATGGCATACATTGTAGGAAAAGCAGGCTGCAGCTAATCTGTTCTTTTCTAGCCATAAACATTCTTTTTGAACTGAGCCTATAAATGCCTTCATGTATTTATATGAATAGATGCTATGATCACATAGTATGTAGCACCAACAGCAACCTCCGCAAAGCCTTTAACTTTCTTTTTAACTTTGCCTTCAAGTATTTAGTTTTATAGGTAAAGTATTATTGCACCATATAAAGGGACAAACACTTGTCTTTCCATTAAAGTAATTGCTATACATTCACAGATCCATTTGTTGTTTAACAGCCCCAGGTCTACTGTCATAGATCTGCACAATAAGTTTTGTGTTCTAAAGTCAATAAAGTGTTTATTATTTGGGCAATATATTGTGTTGTAGCTTAATAAGCCCCTTCAATTTCTAAATAGATGTGAGCTGGTTTTTAATGACGCGGTAAGCCTAGTTTATTACAGCCCATTTCATATTTGGACTGTGAACCTGGCACAGTGTCACACTACCCCATCCCAGCGTGTTTTGTCTTGTGTCTTTGTGTCTCGTCCTGTAACTCCTGTCCTCGTCCCGCTTGCCTTGCCTTGCCTTGCCTTGCCTTGGCTCTCCCATGCTGTGGGCTTCTGCTTTGTGCTGCTGGTGGCTGTGTGCTGGTGGCTCAGTGTGCTGTCTCCTGTGTGGGGGACTCAGGGATGAAGATCAGTACCTCCTGCGTCACTCCAGCCCAGCCTTGGACCATGACTCACCCTGCGGACAGCACATGCTGCTGGCTCACCTGGAGCACCAGGACAAGGAGCAGCTCCAACGCACCCTGGCCCGCCTGGAGAACGAGAACAGGTCAGTAGCCAGGAAATAAAAAAAAGTGTTTAAACTGAGCCTGGAGCGAGGCTTTTTTCTTCATTCTTCACATGTTGGTTTCATGCTCAAAAAAAATCCTCCTGAGCCACACTGGTTACACTTATGGTCACATCATACGACAAAGACTTACACCACATCCAAATCACCTGACACTTTTATCATTTTCTAGCATTCAGAACTGTGTTTGATTTGACTTGCTTATAGGTTTGGTTGAGGCTTAGATTAAGATTTGAGGGCTTGCAGCCAAGATGTAAAAGTTCGGCTTCTGGAGTTGTTTTCGTCAGTGAAGCTCCCTTCAAGCAGTTTCAGTATGTCTGCTGCCATTTGCAAAACTCCTGCAGAGAGTAAACACATTCACACTCAAAATCCTTTTGAACAGCCTTAAGAAAATAGGAACCTTTTCTCTTCTTTTTTTGAGTGCATACCTGACAGCGTAGTCCGTAAAATAGTGCGGCGATAACAGAGACACACATGTAAATCCTGCTTGAGTTTGACAGTTTGTTGGTGTCCTGCAGAGGTAAAACAAAGAACCTATTATGAGTTGACTGATGTGATTTCAGTGTAAAACACCTCTGAAACACAAGATGTTAATGCTTGAATTTGAATTTATGTGCTTGAGGCTCAAGGCTTTTTCTATAAATGAAGCAAATTCATTTCTGCTATCCTCTTAATTGGTTACCAGAGGCATCCTTTCTGCGAATGATTCATTTGAATAAATTTCTCTTGTCGTCAATTCAGTCGTGACCTTTCCACGCATACACACAGACACGCAGTTACATCCACACACATACATTTGCGCCCTTTGGCTGTCTGAAACCTTGACCTGGTTTAGATATTTTACAAAGTATGTGTCCTGTTAGCCCTATGAATGATTAAAGCGTCTGCGGTAGCTCTGTTTATATACTGTTCTGTGACGTTTCTGTGGCTTCTAACAGGACTAGAAAAGCTTAAAAGCATAAACATTGCTCTATCAGCCTGATGCCTAATAGCTGTCTAGTTCCAGGAGAATTGCTTATAAACCTGATTTTGAACTGATGTCTTGCATGATGTTTTACAAAACTGCTTCAGCAACTAATGCATTACTAATGTTTAGGTTCTCAGAGACCCCAATTACACAACAAGATTTTCATCTGCTATCTGTGTGATTCTGTGCTTTTTAATGTCTGTATTTCCCATGCGGCACTAAAAGAGATATGAACCACATGTTGCTGCACTGTTTGATGTCCTGGTATTTACACATGTAGTGAAATCATTCCAATTACCAAACCCATAAACACAAAACGACAGACTATAATGTGTCGGCGCATGTTATTATTTGCATGGGGAGCTGGATAAATATCTCTCGTTGTGGGAGAGTATTTCGTATGCTGCAGCAACAAGTGCGCCTCACTGTTTTCCTCCATCTGTCGTCCCCTGGTCCTCAGGGTGCTGCAGGGCGAGTACAGGCGGCTCAAGTGGAAACACGAAGAGGCGGCGTCGGTTCCAATGCTGACCGAGGCGGGAGAGGGCGGGCCGGGATCGCCCACGGCGGGAGGGCCACAGGATGAGGAGCTGTTGGCCGAGGCTCGGGTCCTAAGGCAGCACAAGACCCGCCTTGAGACCCGTATGCAGATCCTGGAGGACCACAACAAACAGCTAGAGTCCCAGCTGCGCAGGCTCAGGGAGCTGCTGCTACAGGTACAGAGGCCAGGTGGTTGGACTGTTACCGAAGAGCTGTTCCTAAATACAAATGCTGCTTTTGTGTACTTCCACTTTTAATCTGCTAGATTTTAGAGGGAGATATAGTTCTGGGTAACAATGGAGAAACCCAAACTCTTGACCCCCACACTGAGGTGATCTTGTGGCTCTAATATGCTGTTTTGCTCCCATGGTTTGGGTCCACTTGTCAACTCAGAGGGAAGAGTCACTGCAAATCAATACAAAGTTGTTCTGAGTGATCACCTTTATCCTGTGATGAAACATTTCTCTCCTGATGTGAGTGGTCTCTTCCAGGATGACAGTGCCTCCGTCCACGGGGCACCAGGGGTCACTGATTGGTTTGATGAGTAGAAAAATGATGTGACTCATATATAATATGAACACCTAAGGGGGATTTTGGAGCGACGTGTTAGACAGCGCTCTCCACCGACCAATCATCAGAACACCAAATGAGGGATTATCCTTTCGAAGAACGTTGAACATCCCTTCAGCAGAGGTCAGAGGCTTAAAGAATCAATGCCAAAGTGCTGTGAAGCTGTTCTGCTGGCATGTGGTGGGCCAACACCTTAACAGAACACTTTAAGGTGATTTTGTTAAACTTTAGTTTGTTGCCATTCTTTATACATGGTAGCTGTAGTCAGATAGTTCAGATTCACATTTTATATACAAAACATGAAGTCATTATTTAAATTATGATAATTTAGCTTTATTTTACAGTCATATAACTTAAATATAAACAAGTTTCTCAAGGTGTTCTGTGTTATTTTGGTGGAGTTGGTTGTGCCAGTTTGTTATTTATTTCCAGGAGAGTTGTCCAGAAAAAGAAGAAGAAGGAAAAAAAGCTTTATTTAAACTTAAGTAAATATTTATTCATTGTTGATTTATTGTTGGGAGTTAGTATTCACTTATATTAGGAATGGGGTTTTGGTTTGAGCATTTCTTAAAACATTTTTTTGTGCACTGATCAACAGAATTAATTGGAAGTGTACCCAATTATTATTCTCTATTTTCTATCCAACTGCTCTGTCCCTAAAGCTTTGTGGGAAATTATTTTTTCCCAATTATTTTAAATGCCCATGAATAAATGTCTCAGCATAATTTGCTGTAGATTGATAACCTCAGTCTATAACATCCATAATATTACCTGCACAGCCTAACGAATTACTACATTTGAATGTTATAGGAATATTAAGTTATCAGCTTCTCTGTCCAGGGGGAAAATGGCTGGCTTAGAATATAGTTACTGATTACATCTACAGTTGTAGAACAGCCAATAGGAATGACACCCTCTCTCTAAGAAGACCTGTGATTGGCTAAAATCTCCCATCACAGGCTGCACTTTCTAAAGCCTGAAAATTGAGCAGTAGTGTAGTTTCCTCTTAGACCAGTTGAATTACAGTATGATGAAAGGCTATTACAGAATATTTGCTCAATGAAAAACAACAACAACAAAAAAAACACTGCCCACTCTAGCTTTGGGATTCGTGCCACTGTTGATCCTATCATGTATTTAAAGACGAGCACGAGAGCAAATTGATCGCATCTGTTAAGTTGCAGGCTTCTGGTTAACTGCATCAGCTCTGTTTCTTGCAGGTGCACAGAGACACAAATTCAGGCTCAATGGTTTTCAATATCTGTATGCATCTCAGTGCGCACTTCAAGCAGCATAGTCCTTCAAATGCATTCTTACAAGTACAAAAAGGCAAAGGCAGTGCATGTAAAAAAAGGGAGTGGGAGTACAAAGAAGTACAACACAGACAGAGTTAAGAGAGAGGAAAAGCCTTAAGACACTCTGGAGCGTCATTTGAAAGAATTTAGTGCCGTATAAAAAGGAAAGGTATGACGAAGAGACGGAGAGACGAGTGGGAGGTGGTGCACAATTACTGGTTACTATAATGTGATAATTAGCCCTCCGGTCATTGATTTAACCCCATAAAACTCATCTCTATGTTTTTTTCCTGCATTAAAATGACTTTAAAGGAACTCTAAACTGTTGCTTAGTTTACAATGTGCAGATCTATGAAATCTAAACCTGCATCTTCATACAACCTTCCAAAATTGTTGCAGCTGGAGTCTCACTCTGCTAGTTGACAAGTTTCGCTTCTTCATTTTGTTACATAAGAAAATCTGGAAGTCTGAATCCATGAAATCCATGGAAATACAAAGCAGTAGTGATGGCTGCTTATTTCACTCATGACGAATCTTCTAGCATGTAAAAAGAAACACACACCATAAAACACCTGCTCGCTCAGGCCAAAGAGCAAGAGGTGAATGGGAGAAAGACCTGAAAATCGAGTGACGAGAAAGGAGAGTGGGGCAGGGGAGGAGGAGGAGGAAGAGGAGGAGGAGGAGGAGGTGCATTTTGCAGGATGGGGGAAAAAAAATTGAATTCTTACCTCTGTGGACCAATATCACGGTTTCATTTCCTCTGAAAATAAAATCTGTAGAATCTTTCTGTGTAGTCTGTAGAAGTGTAAGTATGAATCCCTCCCAGTCTCTGCAGACGCTGCAACTACTGAACTTGCTCACCTCTAGAGTATTGCTCCAGTGTTGCTAAAAACAATACAAAAGACGGGATGTTGCATATGATATCCTTGAGAGTTACATTATGCATCTTTGATTGTAATTTGAGACTTTCCTCCATCTCTGTCAGTGTGTTTTCTGCAGTTCCTCTGTGTACAGTGCAATTCCCTGTCTTTTTAGCTGCCTATCAAAGCACAAATCCAGTAACCTGATGATTTTGCAAAACAGCTGTTGGGCAAAATTGCCTTTTTTGAATAATTTTGCAGCGGGATGCCATTCGGGGGCTGCTGGCTGAGTGCCACTGCATTCATAACTACGTGGAATGACAGTGAAGTCTGAAACATGATGGAAATGAGCAATTATTTGGACTGAATGATAATAAGTCTTTCCTGTAAAACAGCCCAAAGATGATTCAGAAGCCAACGGATCAGAACCGTCAACTCTGTCTTCTCCTGTGTCTGGAGTCGGTCACCACGGGGAACCGGCCAGCAGAGAGACTACTGACACCGAAGCAGCAGGTCAGCGACGTGCAGTCGGACTCAGACGTGTGCTTGACACATGCACGCATGTTGAATGTGAATCCATGTATCCTCCCCTCACATCCTCCCCTTATCCGCTCACTGAGGGGTAACACTTTCTGTGCGTGTGTGTGTGTGTGTGTGTGTGTGTGTGTGTGTCAGGAGATGATGTGGAGCATGAGCAGGACACGGTGCTGCAGCTCCAGGAGGTTATCGAGCAGCTGAGAAACGTCTTCCCTTCAGAACCTGGTGAGTTTGCCTCGGCTGCACGGATCCTCGCTGGTGTAGCGCTCCACACTTCAGAGGCAGACTCTTTGCTCCTCTCACGGCCCTTGGGGAGTGTGAGAGATGGAGAGGAGAGCAAATATGTACTGCTGCGGGTCGATAGTCGGGGGGAGGGACGGAGAGATTAAATGGCAGAGAGGAGGAGTGTAAGATAAGACGGAAACAGAGACCGTAGCAGAAAGAGACAGGGAACGTCACTGTCACACGCTTTACAAACTGTCCCACTGCTTTTAAAATGCAATTTGCTGGGCAATCCAAAGCCTGTAACTTGAACAAAGGAAGGGATTATCATAATTATAGCCTTCTAAGTTATAGCCAAGAACATTTGCTTGGTCTTTTGCGTGTGTGTCTAAAACTTGTAAAAGCTTTTCCCTCCTTTTTTTCTTTTTTTTGCTTTTCTTCTGTTTCCTAATTTCAGGCACCACCTCACACATCTAACCCTGCGTGGGCCTGGAGGAGCAGACTGCAAGCCTGAAAGGATGCCTGATGGCAGAGGGAGGAGCTCCATACGGCTGAGGTCAGGCCACAATACACCCGGCCCTGCGACCACCGCAGCATCTATGACACTCAGAGCTAACCCTCTACTGGAACTCTGTGCACTAAAAGCCTTTTTCACGCAAACTGCTAAAAGGCTCACGCTGATGTCCTTTTGGCCAGGCTGTGCTTCATAACTTCAGTAGCGCAGCCTGACACCATGTTAACGAGCCAAAGGAAACTAATGTTAGCAGCAGGTCAGGGAGAGACTAAAGCAAAGGAAAATGCCCAGCCAACACACTGTGCTTACCAGTATCTGTGTAGTCATTCGGAGGTGTGAAGCTTTATATCAGTCAACAGCACAAATTGGACCTTCCATGAAAGGAACTTTAAAAAAAACAAAAGAAAAATGCAAAAGGAAATAGGAAGGATATCCCCCTTGTTTTGTCAAAATGCCTGTGTCTTCAGTATTTGTGTTTTGTTTTTGTTTTTTTCTCCTTGAATGTGTTATCATGGTTGTTATTTTTGAATTGTGAAGGGAGATGGTGAGTTGCAGCTCGCTGGTGTAAACTAGATCGGGGCTGGGCTGACTGCATTTCATGTGGCTGCGTGGTGCAGATTGTCAAGGAGTTGACAGCACCCACAACAAGCTTATTTACTTTGTGAGAATGACACATCATCAGTTAAATCCATGATTTATTTAAGACAGCCAAAGTGCCCGCTAGCACAGCGCCTCTGTATGCACACACTGTGTTCCTCTAATCCTCTCAAGCTGCTTGTCGCTCTCATTGCTCGCCTCTCCTAAGTGAGCCCTTTACGCTCATACAGACCTAACTGCACTCATTATACGTGCACACACACGTATGCTGCTACATACATACTCCCTATTCACTCCCTTCCTGCATTATCCACAAACAACAAACGTCTCCCTGCGTGATCAACAACATCACTAAAAATACACGCTACACACACTGATAAAAAATGGAGAAGGATTTCGTCTCTCCCATTCGCTGGATCCCGAAGAGTTTCTCAGTTTTGAGCCAATTTGTGTTGTGAGTGGAACTGAGGTTTGTTGAGGAACTGTCTGCTGATAAATATGAGCAAACAGGCCTCCTCTCTGGGATCTCAGCGTTCTCCTGCTGTGTGCCGTGAAAGAGAAAGACGGAGCTCCAGGCTGAAGCTCCCTTTCTCTCTGCTAGTCCAATTCCCGATGCTACAGGGAGGGTACGAGGCACATCAACATGACGCAGTCCTGCACCGACTTCATCCTCAATAATCCCTTCATTCCATGTAGGTTTGAAAAGAACAGTAGCTATTGACTCTACATGTGTCATTTTCCCCTCGCTAATGCATACTTAATTGCTTTGAGATTTACATAAGGAGGCGTCGTTGAAATGGCTTTGCCCTCATCATTTCAGGGTCATGGGGTGCATTCTGTTCTCATCATAGCACAGTCAATTAATGCCTTAAAACCAGACGGAATCCATATAAGACAAGAGTATGTCTGACTGGATTATTGTTTTTTTTTTTGTTTTTCATGACATTTTACATTCAGGTAAGGAGGTTGCGTCTGTTGTTTGTGTATCAGTATGTCAGTCTGTGGATGGGCCTGTGGTCAATTGGAAGTGACAGAAAGAATGGAAAAGTGTGGATCACAACATGTGAACATCCTGAGGTTGAAACCCGTTAAGTAAGGCTTTTATGAGTGAACCCATGATGCAGGGGATGCTTGGAGGGACTAAAGATCTGAGAAACAAGAGAGGCAAGGTAGAAAAAAAAAAGCCCAATCCATTCATTGCTTGAGGGCTCGTGGGAGAGATCCACTTTGATGTGCCTGCCACAGCAAAATCTCCAGAAGCAGGACGAGAGTTTGCCTGAAACAATGAAGCTCTGGCTCTGTGTGTTTCTCTGCAATCTTACCACCTAATTCTGACTGAAAGAAAGAGATATACACACAACCCTTAAAAAGGCACCCTGACCTCTCATACACGAGACTGAAACCCATGCGCTGCATTCATTATGGGCTCCCCCTCCAGGCACATCGCACTCACATTTGACACCGTTCTCCTCAGCACTCGCTGCCTGTTAGTTTTGATACTGTTGCTAGGGAACTGTCCCCAAGGACGCAGCTCCGCAGGTTTGTGAGTTGTAAAGGTGATGTGCCGTTCATAATACAAATGCTAATAGCCTTAAGGGAAGCAAGAGAGAGCGCCTTGTTTTCCCAAACACAGCTCTGCTTTTCTTCACTTCCACCTCCACTGAAGCCTGCCACTGCTGAGCTGCTGAAGATAGTCATTATTATTATTATGATGATTTGTTGAATCCATCTCCGCATCAGCACCGCTTAAAGATTTGTTTTGTTAAAACTCTCACAAGTCAGAACAAAGAGCAGCTGCTCAGCTCATGGGAGGCAGAAGAAGAAAAAAAAGCACTGACAAGTGATGTTTATTCATAGACATTTATCTATTGGTATTTACACATCTCATTACACATTGATGATTACCCATCACCCTCAGTATCTCTGTACTTGTTGTATGTGGGTACGCAAAATGATGTAATTTCACAAGTTGTGGAAAAGAAGGAGGAGGAGGCTTTCCCCACAGGGCTGCATGTCAACATTTGTCATGTTTATTTGAAGAGCATATAGAGGTGGCAGAATGACATGAATACACAAGGTGGTTGTGTGACAGACTTGCATTGCTATTCACAGTTTGTCCTCTCTGCCGCTGTTTGACACCGCCACCTAAATGGATGGTGGTCCCGCTGCAGGGGAGTCACGCAGCGAGTCTCATCTCTGTGCGATCATCTGAGGTCTGATCCGTGTACATCTTTCTATGCTGCTGGTGGCTCCATATATTACCCTCTACACACTCTAACACACACTCTGCTCCCCGTGGCATGACTGAAGCTGTGTGATTTGAAGAAAAAGGTTTTGTCCACGGAGGCAAGGGTCACCCCAGAGAACACTGCTATCACCGCCCAGACCTTGGCCGACACACTAACGACCCCGATCATTTCTCCCCCGCCCCTTCATCTGACCCTCCTCTCAGCCATCTACATGTAACAAAGACACACGTATGTCACACGACACATAACAGAACAATGAACCACCTCACCTCAAGCAAGGTGTTGATAGCACTAACACACATATATAAATATATATATAAACACTCATACCTTACTGGTCAACTAAGGTTTCTCTTTTATTGTTTTTTGTTTGTTTGTTTTAAATCACCATTAATACCTCATTAATCATTCAAATTTTTTTTATGGTTTAACGGTTTTGATTTTCTGTTATCTTGTCCAGAACTCAAACACTTCTTTCTGTCTTTTCTCTGGAGTTTTTAATCTGTATAAAAAGTTTTCTGAAGAAAGGCTTTTTACTGTAATAACAAGTGGGTTACTGGCTGCTTTCTACTGTTTATGTACAGAAATAAAAACTTTGTATTTGGCAAACTCCTCGTCTGCCTGTGCTTTTCATGTGACTGCAGTTATCCCTTTGAGAATTGAACAATGAAACTTAACTCAGAATGGTGCCAGATACAGGCTGTTTATATTAATTTTTCCTTTTTGTGTTTATATTTGGATTTGTATGCTGGCAGAATCAATATTTCCTGTTTTTAAGCTGGACTGGTTATCTTTTTTCCCCCCTCTGTTTATATTCTTTTCTTTCTCCATCACTGCTACACAAGATCATTTCAAGTTGGTGGTCTACTCTGATGGACCATTTCCTGTCTTACTGCTGGTGTCTTTGTTCCCTGAGCTTGTTCTGTTTGGATTCGGTGCAGTACCTGATTGGCATTTGACCTTCTTTTTGCCCTTATCACGCGCTGATCTCTTGCTCGCTACATTATCTTTGCCTGAGCTGACGGGCACAGGATCGCTATCTTTATCCGCTGCTCGATTATCCGGTGCACCCACACCGGCTCCATGAACCTCGACCCTCTCTATATTTTTGCTGTCAAAACCCTCTTCAATCCCGCTCCCACACTCTGCCTCTGTATAACTCGGCTCTGCTTTCACATCTGGATTTTTCTCTGCTTCATCCACTCCCTCCGTCTCTGCAGAGGGGCGTTTCTCCGAGCTTTCCTTCTCCTGAATCGTCGTCTTATTTGCTTCTGCTGTTGTTTTCTGTGCAGATTTCTTCTTTCTTGCTGCACCCTTGGCCTTGCTTCCACCGGGCCCCCACTTCTCCTGCGTTGCATCTCTGTAAGTCTTGTTCTGGCGGGTGTGCAAAGTGCGGATCCTCTCCCCCAGCATTTTCAGTTCCTGCCGAACAAAGGGTTTGAACTTTGGGTCCAGCTTCTCCACCATATCAAAGTCCCTCCGAGCTTCATCCTCGTTGCATAATGCAGCGTGTGCTCGTGCCCTCTGGTACACTGCCTTGAAGTTACCTATGGAGTATAAGAAGGAGAGTGAATAAGTATAAATGACATAATTATTGGCATGTAAAGACCACGGGAGGCACCGAGGGGTCAGGGAGATTGGGAAACTTGAAAGTGTTAAAACAAGACGTTAAAGGTAAAATGAAGTACTACAGGGAGGATGCACGAACTACAGTGAACGCCAGTGGTGAGACAGGAGACAGGCAAAGTAGAAGGCGAAAGCCGGAGAGGAGCAAATGAAGGGAGAAGGAAAGCATAAGAGCAACAATTTCACATCAGCCTCAACTATAAATAATTCATCATAGCAGAAACAAAAAGAAAACAATGAATTCATTTTTGACTGTGATGTCTATGGGTGGGTGCCGGGGGAACAAAAGAAAGACACAGCATTGCGGTTGTGAATGTTTGGGTTTTTTTTTTTTCTTTCCTTGGTAAACTGAAAGATCAAGGAGTGCTGCAGCGTGAAGGCAGGCATTTGCCGACGGCCAGGCATTTGTACTGGCATCAGATCTTGATATTTTTAAGCTTAAAAATATTGGTGTGTAGAGAAAAAAGCTAAACCTGAGTGTATTTATATGCTCATGTACCTGTCTCTATAAGACTTTTGTTTCCCCCCCTGCTGCAAACTCCATCTTCACTTTACCTTTGTGCTTCTTCAGCAGCTCATTGTTGAGCTTCACCACTTCCTGGTACTGCTTCAGCTCCAGCAGGCAGTGGCTAAGGTTGAGAACCAACGGACGACGCACTTTCTCCAGCGACTCCCAGTCGTCGCCGCATTTATCCACCTGCTGAGAGAACAGAGTGGATGAGATGAGTGGGAGGACGAGTGTTGGAGGAGACGGTGGTGATAGATGGAGGAGGAAATTATGAAAAGATGAAACAAAAATGAAAGAACAAAAATAGAGGCCGAGATATAAAGCGTTGGGAGGGGAGGATGAAGAGTGGATGTTGGAGATGATCGAGAGAGGAGGCAGAGGAATGTAAGAGGCAGAGGGGAGGAATATGGAAGGAGACGGGTTGACGAGAAGAGGGAGTTTGTTGCACGTGAAAGGCGTGAGGGAGTTCGACAGTGAGGTGTGGCAGAACAGAGAGAGCTTAAGAAAGAGAAAAGAAGCCTGGCGAGCGTGGTGACAGTGATATCTCTGTGGATAGCTGTTATTTTTAGCCCTCTTTCTCTGCTCTTCACTTTGCCAGCATACCTACAATGCCACAGCTGCTCTTCAGCAAAAAAAAAAAAAAAAGCAACAATGACAGATGATTACAGTTTACGATCCACAGGGAGGCACAATCCTTTTGTAAGACTACTTTCTGGCATGTTCGACTATTCATCACAGTAAATGGATTGAACTGGTGTTTGTTAATATGAGGAGAATCAATCCTGATCTCCATCTGGACGTCATCATCACAACAATAAGCTGTAATTTACATTTCATTTCCCTGAAACGACTGCATAATTACTCACTTCCTTTCACTGATCTTCCCTTTATCACCCATTACCTTATTCTGAAGTAGGTCCACATATTCTATAGCCTCCTTGAACTTTTCAGAGGCTTCTTCGAAGCTTTTTTCTTTAATGAGGAAGTTTCCTTCATCCTGCAGCAGCATGACCAGTCGTAACATCTGCTGCCAGTCCTTTCCCTCTGTTTTGTCATTACAGGTGCTCAGATTGACTGAAGTGTCTGCTTCTTCTATGACACATGTCCCCTCAGTTGGTGTGACATTGTTTTCGCCAAGTTCCTCTTTCTGAACTTCAGCACATTTGATTGGAGATTCTTTTGAACCATTTTCCTCTCCCACTTTAACCTTACTCTCGGTGGTTTCAAGGTCTTCTTTCCCTTTTTCTGTTTCTTCCTTCTCTTCGTCATCATGTCCCTCCTCCTCCTTCTCCTCCTCCTCGTCACTTTTATTCTCCTTTTTCTCCAGCATGTTCCAGTATTTATCCTTCTCCTCCCAGTACTTCTCTCTCATGCGCTCCGACAGAGCCTTCAGCTCCCGACCGACGAGGGAGGCCAGGGTGACGTCCAGGTGGGCCACCATGTTGAAGTCTTTCCGGGCCTCCTTTTCGTTCCACACGGCAGCGTGGGCCTTCGCTCTCTTGTAGTAGCCCTTCACACAGTCTGAGAGGTAGGAAAAAAACAACACAATAAAAAGAAAAACAGGCAAAAACAGATTTATGAATGTCTAACTTGGATATTTAATAATACATCAGGTCTGTCTGCTGAAGCTGAGGTAGCAATTTGTCTGCATTTAGGACAGGGAGTAGGTGTGTAGTGTCATGTGTATTTCTTATTAGCACTGAGTTTGCAGAACAAACAGTGCATACATACTGCATCTTTATTCCACTCTAAAGCCTTATGTCTTATTTTGAGATGGATTCGCTTTCTAGCAGAGAGTTCAAATAAAACTCACTTGTGTCTGTTTTTCAAGGCCCTCTCTGGTTGTTGATTAAACCCTTAAAAACTCATCTCTGTGTATCAAAGTTAAATGTTTAGACATTTTCCGCATGAAAATATTCCCTTCATGCCTTCAAAAAACTTAGATGTAACACTGCAAAACCATTTGAATGTGTTCAAGCACATCGGCTCGCTTCTGCCTCTAACGCTGCATTCTGCCCATCACAATGAACACTGAAATCATGAATCCACATACGTTTGAACCGGAAACTGATTGTGGAGAAGAAGAAGAAGAAGAATACAGAAAGTCCCAACCTGCAAGCTAACAGGATTGGTTCCTGAGGTTTGTTAAAACCCTGGAAGTCTGAATCTGTGTTTCTGAGACTGTCATCGGTATGTAAATGGCATTGACTGCTTATTTTGCAAATGATGTGTCTTCTTATATATTTTTTAAAAACAAAAACATCGTAAGGAAATATTAACAAGGTAAAAAAGAAAAAGAAAAAAAACAGAAAAAAAACTTGATTGATTGACAGGAAACAACCAGCCTATCTCTGTCTAACATTAGCAAAATTAAATTCCACGGCTCCCTAATTAGCACATTGTTTTGCATTGTTTCAACAAATGAAATAAAACATGTCAGTTAGTGAGCTTTAGACATGTCAGTGTAAGTTGTTGCCTTTGGACCAATCTTTGTTTCCCATCTTGTGCTAAATGTGCTGCGAGCTGCAGTCTTATATTTACTACAGACATGAAAGTAGCACCAATGTCTCATCTATCGTCTCATTTTGCATGTGTTCGGTTTAGATACCCACCGATGGTTCCATTTTTCTGCTTCTCTGCGTTTAATTCTCTTCCATGCTAAATCTTCATCCAGCCCAACAGTTAAACAGATTTTACTGTCGCCTCTGGCAAAAGCAGCGTCGCTGCACTGAGCCTTTTCAAAAGATCAATTGGGCTGAAGGGATGAAACAGCGTCAGAGTGGCTGACTTGAACTGATAGAGACAACATGATATTGGTGACAACAACAGGGAGAAGAATGTAAAGTGGAGAAGAAAAAGAGATGTTGTTGTGGAAAGATATGAAAATAAAACTAAAGATAAAGCGATGAAGGGATTAGAAAAGAGACACTAAGGAAACTGGGAAAGGAGAAGAGGGTTTGGTGATGCTAGTTTATCATTGGATTTTTCTTTGAAGCGCTATAAAGAGGGCTGCAGCTCTGTGACAACTGTTCGAACAGGGCCAGTGGAGCTCAGAAACTCCTGCCCACCATTTCCACATTTCACTTTCGTGCACGCCCTTCTTCCTCCTGTCACGGACATAGACATGCTTCCAGCATTTCAGAATGCATTACATCAGCGTACGCTCATTTCCTAGAGACGTGCCCGACCCTAAACTTAATTTGAAGCAGATCTTCTAACCTTACTCTAACCTTAAAACAAATCATCATCTTATAATGCAATAATTTATGTTATGGAGACTTACCTTTTTTCCCCAAAAGGGATTTGAATCCTATAATGTGGCTGCATGTAACAGATTTATAACCTCACAACCTGAGTAACACAAGTACACACAAACACACTTTAAGGCAAGTATAGGGTAAAACTGAAATTCCAGGCTGAGGAATAGAGTGTAAAATAAAGGCCGCCTCAATGGATGCTGTCCCTGGGTGAGAGGCATAATTCATGAGGCTCTGAAGTGGAGACTGTGCCAGCATGTGAGGCTCCACTAAGATTATATGAGTAGCCATGGGTATGACAGTACAATTCCCAGGGCTGCCTGCCAACCTCAGCCCTCCTACACTCTCTCTGAAGACACAGCTGCCACATGCAACAGCCACTGCAGTAAACCCAGAGCAGGCAGCAGACCCTGACCTGTCAGCTTCTTACAACGCTTTCAAATTACTGCTATAGTGTTCATATCCAGAAGTGGAAAGTAATGCATGCAGGCCTTCATTTTATACTCACCAGTCTGGAGCATTTCATGGACTTGATTGCCAAAGAATACATTTTAGGAAATACTTCCTATCTGCTTCTTGGTAAGTGTTAAATGAGAAAATTGTGACCAATTTCACATCCCCTGTGACAATCAACAACCAGGAGACACCATCTGTTGAAAATCAAGTTGTTGTTTTCTTTACCTTGCTAACATGTCCATAGGGTGTTCTTTATTTCCTAGAAGACACATTATCAGCAATATAAGCTGTCAAAGACCAGTAACTTCTCTGTAATAACAGCAAAAGACAGCAGGCTAACATGAACATGTGTTAACCCCTGATGTTAATGGTACTTTAAATATATCAATTCTGAAGCTATTTATAATTTTAAATACTGTTTTCATGACATGAGGTAGGCTACACTGTGAAAGACCCCACCTAGTCTAAATCAATTTTTTTAACCTTGTTAACATGTCAATATGGTGTTTTGTTTACAATGTTTAGAAATATGTGAAATAAGCAGTCAAAAATCATGACTGAGTATTTAAATTTTGAAACTAGAGTGAACCAATGACAGTCCCAAAAATATGGATTCAGACTTTTGGGATTTAATACGTAACACACCGAACAAACAATCTTGCCAACTTGCAGGATGAGACTTTCCATACCAATATTCTTCTTCACAGTTGTTGGCATGTTTGGCTGAATTACATTAATTTTACAGCTTGATATTGTGTAGTGGTTTTATAGTAACTGAGCAGAGTTGCAGGTGAGCTGGTGTGCTCAAGCTGCAGCAAGCGGAGAGACGTGGGTGTAGATAGAGATCAGACATCTGCACATTGTAGAAGAAGCAACAGTGTAGAGTTACATCAAGGTCATTTTAAGGCATGGAGGGATTATTTTTATAGGCAAATCTCTAAATATGTAACTTTGATACATAAAAACTGTGTTTGGGCTGTTTAATCAGTGACCAGAGAGGTACTTGATGAATGTCTTTATGCTAAGCAAAGCTAAGCTGAGCTAACCACCCCTGCCCCTGGCTTTCCTTTCTAATTAATGAATAGACATGAATGGTATCAGTCTTCTCATCTATCGCTTGTCAAGAAAATAAGTAAGCAAAAGTCAAAATTCTAAGCAGTTAAAGGTAAAATTTGTTTTCAGCTAAGAAAATCAATGATTCCTGCGGTTATGTCGATATAATGGCACATTCTGGAGGTTATTCCACTGAAGATTCTCTGACTCTCTATTCACTAGTAAGGATCAGACTTTCAGGTTTCGTCTTTATAAAGAAAACACGACCTTGTGCTCAGGTATGTATGGGCACAAAAGCAATCCTAAAGGCGACAGAATAAGAAAATATTTCTCACAAAGATGAGATTTCTAAAACTTTTACAGCTCTATAAAAAACTAAGTAAAATATCTGGAATCAAAGGATCTACATACATTTTAAAAAGTAATGGCTGTGATACATAAATTACACTTGAATGCCTAACAAATGTGGATAGCAAAAATGCATGCTTTCAGAGTTTTGGCACAGCAGCAGCCTTGAGGTTAGAGAACTGTGAACATATGGGATGTTTGCTGGTTCACATCTCTGGGGGAGGAGGGGGGGAGTGAGTGAATAACAACCTTGCACTGTTGAACTACCTCTGTGCACAGGATTAACCCTGTTAGCTCCAATAAAGCACTCACAGGTTTGACAAGAGTGATGCAACCGTGTGAATGTGAGGCAGGGAGAAAAACAAAGTGTGCTCGGGCAATTCTCCCAGGAAAATTAAAGACGTGTCTCATGGCCAAAAATAATGAGAATAATCAGAACAGACCCCAACGGTTCTTTCTGTTCACGCATTTGCCGTTACCTTTGTGTTTGTCCAGCAGCTCCGTGGTTTTCTCTATCACTTCATAGTACTCCTCTAGCTCCAGCATACACTGGCAGTAGTTCAGCTCCAGGGGGACGATCATTCGACCCAAGTTAATGTAGTCTACATCACCCGGCATCTCCTACACACACAGAGACATGCAGCGATGGAAGAACAAAGGCATGTTCATAGTGCTGCTATGTTGCTTGGCAGCTCCAACACATATATTAATAATTTAGGCGAATTCAGTAGGTTTTAATATTTTCACACGGATTCAAACGTGGGACACTAAAAAATACCAAACGCTTTACTAACTGTGTGCACAAAGGCCAACTATCTGTAAGCCTTTCGACATCAAACTTCTGAATGTATCTACAGCTGCCAAAAATCAATCTCATGCACAAAGAATCCTGTGTGCTCTCTTATTAAAATATCTCACACACATCTTCCTCCATCCTTACACTCCCCTCCCCCCCCTTCTCCTCCTAGACAGGCCTCCACAGCTCCCCCTCCTCTTTCCTCTGCCAGCCCTCCCACCCAACTGCCTGTAATCAGGGACACAGTGAAGCAGAGCAAAACAGGAAAACAGGAATCTCCCACTGGAAAAGAACAAGTTGCATGTCCCAAAAACCTAAAATCCTGAGAAAACCTCAGGTTTCATAAGCCGGCACAGCAATCATTTCGCTCCCTCATCCTTCACTCACTCTGGATTGGACCGTTTTCAGCAGCAGGACGGCTTCCTTGTACTTGCTGGCGGCCTCTCTGAATTGTCTCTGCTTGACCAGTGCGTTGCCCTGCATGTGGAGGCTGGGCACTGTCTGCAGCTTCTCGTCCTTTTCCATCATCCACGATTCTCTGTGGTAGGACAACGGGTCTCCTACCTGGACGCAGCAGGGACAGAATGCAAACATAGAAAAAAAAAACTGACGATGGAAATGAACACAAAAGAGGTCCATACATTTACTACATACATTACTAAGTATTTAAATGCAACTTTAATTACATTTATTCCCGTGGACACAGATTTTTAGTTCATTTTTAAAAATGATTAGAGCTATGATCAAGGTTAATGCAGAATTAGATTAGATTAGATTAGATTAGATTGCACTTTATTTTTCACCACCAATGGGGAAACTCACTTGTTGCAGCAGTATAGATACAAGAAAGAGCACCAAAAAGTGACAGGAATAAAAGAAAATAAACTATAAATAGGAAGAGCTGAGAAATGCAATACAATATTATAAAAGCTCTGCATTGTTGTTTTAAGGTATAACGTTGACACCTGCTCAAGGTCACCAGCAACAGTAACACAATTTTAATTTCTCCTAAAATAAAACTGAACATTCTTTTTAATCTCAATCATTTGTGTGCACAAAATACAATCTTGTGCATGTATGGTTTAAAATAAATGTATAATTAAGGGCCTACATATTTCAACACCCTAAAAGAAGCTACTATGCAGACTGTGTTTACTTTGGAGGCCTAAATACATTATTCTGGCAAACCTCTTATTGTAGAAGGAGACATTTTTAAAGCCTGGATTTTACTTATGCACTTGTAGAATTGTGGCATCACTATTTTAACTCATGTAAAGAATTTAAATTCCTCCACCACTGCAGAGTTGTCAACTGGTGTACAAAAAAAAAAAAGTGAAGCTATCAACTATTCAACTTACTGCCACCAACTCCTGGTGAGTCTCAGGCTTGTTCTGGATATTATATTATTTCGAAGCTGAATCTTTTAGGCAGAGAGGGACTTGAGTTTTGTCAGTGCTGTCAGTGGATTTGTGAAAATAGTGTCTCAGTTTTAGAAAAGAAATGACTTAATAGATAAATGTGGGTTTTACTGTCAGCCTTTGTTTACAGATACTAAAATGTGAGAGAAGCTGCTTATTGAATAGAATTCAAGGACAGCTGATTGTTCGACTCCATCCTCTTTGGCTGTTCACTGTGACATGCAGCATTTAACCATTGGTGCTTACCTGCAGCAGCTCCATGACAAATATGAGCGGCTGAGGAGTTCGCATGAGCTCATCCAGCTCTGGGAAACCAGTGGAGTGATAGTGGAACATGTTTCCCATGCCGCACATGTGTCTCTGACCCTCTAGGGGGTCTTTCCCTTGAGCAATCAGCCTCATTCCCTTGGACACAATGGGGTACAAGCCTGTGTGCTGCAAAATGAGAACATCAACACAAACATGAACATAGGCTCTAAAACAAGACATACAAGTACTTAATCATGCTAACCCCCTGGTGCTGCCAGCCCGTGCCAATCAGTTCTACAAGGCAAACACGAGAAGTAGCCTAATCTTACTTGCAAATTACATTTTTCTCCAGGAGGAAAAACACTAAAATTTGCACAAAAAGATTGCTCTGTTTGTGTGCAGAATACTGAACATGTAGCAGGCTACACAAGGTTGACTCATGTGCATCATAATGAGGACTAAAAGCTTCCCTTCCTCGCTCATGAACACTTATTAGGACCTCTCAGGGGTTTGATAACTCAGAAAGTGTGCGTGCAGTCTGTAATTCAACTCACAACGGCATCACACCAGAACTCAGCCACCTCTCCGATCCTCATTGACATCAGCAGGGTTTCCCAGACTTCCATCTTGAACATCTTCCCGACAAAGATCTCTGCTGGCCTGCCAGCCAGTCGGCTGTCGTCGATGACAGTCCGCTCAAAGTCGTCCAGCAGCGTCTGGAAATTGAAAACCAGCTTGGACAGGAAGAGAGAGTAGGGAACACGAAGAATCAAAGAGTAGAGATTAATGAGGGAAACTTCCCTCAGGGGCCACTTCATATGGTCTAATAAAGTGGCCACTGTGTGTTTTTCAACAAAATATGCAACAAATAAATGAGCAAAGACATACAGTAGAAAGGGCTGCTAATGCTTAACTGTTTTCCTCACATTACTTAAATCATTACTTTGTACTTCAAAACAGAATCACTTCTTGTAGTGAAGAATCCTCAATGGGATTATTTTCCGGATGTCTGTGAATGATCTCCACATCTGTTCAAAGCTCGTGGATTTTCTCTTCATTGTGAATGTTAATGTGCTCCATTGATGGCACACTTGAAAAATCTTTTAATCACTGGCTAAGCAACGATTTCAGTGGATTTCAAAAAGACAGCATTTGTATGTTTGGCATGCAGACAACATAAATACATCATGTTTTCCCTCACTTTTCTCACTTCTCCAGCTACATACAGCGGGGAATTGTTGTGAGTTTTTCCTCCCTCGCTTTTTTTCCCAACATGTTTTGTGTGTCAACAGCATACTGTCGATTAAAAAAAGGAACAAATAGAGTTTAACTTGGGCAATCTGTACTTGTTAAAAAATGTATGATTTGCAATTCCCCCCCCGGTGGCAAGAACCCAAACCTTAAGTTTTAATTTTTTACAATAAAGACTTTTTAACCGAAAGCTATCATGATATATTTCAGGCAATTTATATGTAACACACACATGTCAGTTTTCATTATATGTTCCATCTGTTTGTAAAAGCCTTACAAAGGTTTTATCGTCGCCCTGACTGTAAAATAATGTTGGATCCGCGTAACCTTCAATTTATAGCCTTACAGATTGTGTGTAATGGTCTGATAACTGTGTGAGCAACTGGGAATCACCTCACCGGGGGAGGAACACACACACACACACACACACACACACACACACACACACAACCACAGACACACTATGATACAGACACACAGGTAAATGGAAATTCATGCTGGCATTGTCATGGAAAATATTTGTCACAGTGTCCAGGCTCGCTGCCATATGGCTGGATGCGACTAGGATGGGAGGGGAAAAAAAAAAAGTCGGAGACCAGCAGATCAGTGGATCAACAGAAACAAAGACACAGTGCCAAAAAACATGTTGCAATTTGGTTGACCAAATGTTTGCTCTGTGTGTGTGAGCCAGATACAGAATAAATTTCCTCACTTCATGAATAATTCAACAGAATCTAATTGACGTGGGCAATGCAACAAACAGCTAGAAATAGACACTAAAAATAGAAATTTTCCGAGGAATATTCATCACAACACAATGGTAATTACACGAGGATTCACTCCCTCCAGAGCACTGACTATGAACCCAGTATCATTCAGGTCATCAGGTTAACTGTCATTTAGGATACCTTCGTCCCAGGTGGAAAGTGAGGCAGTGGTCCGGTGCCTCCAGCCAGAATTTTCTTCTTAACTCCTGGATGGTTGAGAAGGTACGTGTCCTCCATTGTCCCTCTGCCTTCAGAAATACCAGACAGAAAAGTGTGTGTTTCTGAGATTTCTTTTTTCACCCTCGAGGTGTGTGTTCTCCTGGCTTTCTAATTAGCCTAGTGGAGAGAGTCTTGGCTGGTTTGCTGCTCTCTGACAGATGGCAGGATTAGGTAGGGTTTGGAGATGGCCACTTTAATCTGAGGAGCTAATCCCTTGCCTACCCCTGCGATTGGTGGGGCAATCCCTGCAGGAAGGAGCAGGAGAGGAGGAGATGACCACTGGGCCCAGAGTTGTGTGCATGAGAAAGGCCCAGATCACTCTCGAACACGTAAAGATCTTTCTGGAAGGAAGGAGAATTCTCTGACGGCGTCACAACGGTTTAGTGAAGCAGCTGTCTGGCCATGACAAGCGTGTGCATCAGGTAACCCTTGAAATGTTCATGGAGCCAGTGATCAATCTGAAGGCCTCGACTAATCATTGATGACTATTTTCCTGATCATTATCCGATGTTTGGTTGATAAAATGTCAAAAAACAGTGTTTGTTTGGGCTATTTTGTTGAACCACTCTGTGCTGAAAAATGACTTAAAAACTGTATGTCAAGTTTTTTCACCGTGTTAATGTGTCAGTGAGGTATTTTTTATATACTGGAAGGCACAAGACAAGCAAAATCACCAGTAAATACCCTGGACTGACATTTTCACCTTATATGTACAGTGTTCTGATGACAGTCTCAAAAACACAGATTCAGATTTTTGTTGTTTCATACTTTTAAAAAATAAATAAAATAAATAATTTTAAAAAATAACAACAATAATAATACACTTTATTTGTATAGCACTTTTCAAGATACTCAGAGTCACTTTACAGGGCACAAGATATAGACAGAAACAAATAAGTTGAATAAAAAGCAGATTAAAAAAAATAAAGAATTAATAATTTTGATGGAGAAGGCATTCACACAGTTATGGTTGCCACCAACGTACGACTGGACTACAAATGTCAATGAAAAAAACCTGTCTAACAAAAAAGGACCTATATATATATTCTGTATTTTATACGGCAGGCATATTGTTTATTTCTAATCTTATTATTTTTGAATAATTTAAGAAATGAAAACAGCATTGACACATTCTCTAATATGTTGCAGCCACCTTTCACTGCATTTTTGCAACTGCTAATGAGCTCTCTACTTCTTAACTAACAGCTTGGTGCACTCCTCTTCAGCAGACCAGACTGTTCTCATGGTAGATAGGTGCCCTCTCCATGCTGAGAGTTTCAGCTCTTTGCATAGATTCCAGTTGGATTAAGATCAGGACTTACAGCAGGCCACTTCAGAATGGTCCAGTGTTTTCTCCTTATCCCTCCTTGGGAGCTCTTAGATGTATGTTTTGGCTCATTATTCCTTTGGAGGAGCCATGAAATGCCACTGAGACAGAGCTCTCTGACACTGAGCAGTATGTTTCACTCCAGAGTGCTTTGATAATCTTCTCATTTCATTGTGCCCTGTACAGATTCGAGGCAGTTTGTACGAGACACAGAAAATAACGCAGCTAAAGTCTCCTCCGTGTTTCACAGTGGGGATGGTGTCTTTTTCTGAGAGGCTCATATTTTTTTTTTTTTGCCTCTGTGAACCTAGAGCTGATGTGACTCACCAAAAAGCTCAACATTTTATTTTATCTGTCCAAAGAACATTCTCTGAGAAGGACTGTGACTTGTCAACACGCCAGATTTTCTTGTTTCTCTTTCAGAAGTGGGGTCATGGTCTGTGTTCTTTCACAGACCCACTTTCATTCAGAAAGCACCCAGACACTGCTGTACCTTGACACTGGAGGTCAGCTTGTATGCATTTTCGAGTTTTACTTGGTTCTTTTTCCACCTTTTGAACTATCCTTCTGTTCAACCTGGGGTCAGTTATTCTCTTGTGGTCACATCTAGGGAGGTTTTCTACAGACCTTAAACCTTCTAATAATATTAGAAGCTGTGGTCATGGAAAAACAAGAAACTGACTGGAGATTGTCTTTTAGCCTTTACCTTCCAACATTTTTTTTTTCGTCCGCTTGACCAGATCAGTATGGTGCACACAAAGATATCAAAAAGTACAACAAATACTTTCTCCATTTAAATAGACAGCAGGTCTGATCTGAAGACCGAAGACATTAACTGAAGTCACTAAAATACACTTAATTTTGTCAAGGCTATTTTGGGATGATCTTAGTTTAATAAGAGAGAATTTGTCTCTTTACTCAGCTTTATTTGTAATTTATTCTA